TCCCAGAGGAGAGGACTGAGGGAGGCCAAGGTTTGGCACAGGCCACTCACCTGATTCCCCATTTCCAAAGACAAGAGTCTTTTCACGACATCATCAACCCTGTGGAAAAGTCATAGCAACGAGAGAGAGATGTTAGGGTAGAGGAGAAAAGGGAAGCAATGCTGTTTTCATTTTAGTTGGCAAAGCAAGGATGATTAAAAACTTCTTTTACAACAAATGAGTCTCTCTGGAAGTCGGGAGCCATCTCCCACAGATTAGAAGTCAACCCGCATCTGACCTGCTGGGCTGAGAACATGGAACGACGCAATAACTACAGAAAATTGAGGCTGTCAGCTCGAGTGTTCCAGGATCGCCATAGGGAGGGTACAGGAGGATTTCCGTTTTAGCTAGAATGTGGTTCAATCTGTTTTGAGACACTTCAATTCTATAATCATTGTTTCTCTCTCAGGTCACACTGCACAGTGGGAGGGACAAGAGGGACTTGCCAGCTGCCACCGTACAACAGGCCGAGCAGGAAGATCCTGGCCTTGGTGGTGTTTGGCCGGGGATTCAAACCCTAGCTCTGTCCCATTGGAGCTGTATGACATTGGGCAGCTTGATAATCTATAACATGAGGATAGTATGTCTTACCTTACAGACATTTTTGAGAGGATCAAGACATGAGAGATTTCTAAAAAAACCTGAGGCATGTTACCTCCTTGGTATCTACTAGTATACAGTGGTCGGCAAACTGTGGCTCGCAAGCCACATGCGGCTCTTTGGCCCCTTGAGTGTGGCTCTTCCACAAAATACCACGTGCAGGCGCGCATGTACAGTGCAATTGAAACTTTGTGGCCCATGCGCAGAAGTCGGTATTTTGTGGAAGAGCCACACTCAAGGGTCCAAAGAGCCGCATGTGGCTCGTGAGTGCAGTTTGCCGACCACTGGTATAGGGTCTTCACCCAGAGCACAAAAAAAGTCATCAGTGAAGCCCCAAAAGCTCCACCTGTCCCGGCTGCCCACTACCCTCACCATGCTTGGGCTGCTACAGTTCCCGGCCCCATTCTATAATCAAGCTCAGACAGATCAGGCTGGGCCTCGAAGCCACTGTCTCCCCCCTCTCCTCGCTAATCCTCCCAGGGCCCCCTGCTTCACCAAAGAGATTTTTTTTCTTGCTTACTTCTCAATTCCAGGGACGTCCTGGTAATCTTTGAGGAGCGTGGAAGGGGGCGGGTCATCTTCTTGGCTGGGACGGACTGTCAAGTGGAAGGATGGAAAACACCCAGAGTTAACTCTCATTGCCCATCCTCCCAGACTTCACTCTTCTCACCAGCTCTATCGGAGACACCCGGGGTCTCCAGCAAGGTGTGGACATCTGTGGGCTCGGTTTCTCCTCTGCAAACTCCCTGGGCACCTGTCCCGATATTTCACACTGGGAGTAGATGGCCTTTCCCAAGACCCTGTATTGTCACCTCTCACACCTGTCTGGCTCTACAGTTATCACATCCCCAACAGGATGTGGACTGAATGTAACTTCCTTTGAATCTCCCCTCCCATTACCCCCAGTCTGATCCATAGCCCAGCACGGAACAGGCACTCAACAAAACAACTGCCCGCTGACTGCGTGAATGAAGTAAGGGGGTTGAGGAGGGAACCCTAGCTTTGGGACACTTGTAAGCACCAAATGCAGGAAACCCTGAGCCCTGGCGTGTGCATCCCTGTCTTCGCTTGGAGGTGAGGGAGAGAAAGAGGTATGGGGGAGAGCAACCTGTCCCCTCCGGTCAGAACCTACTCTAACGCTATGCAAAGAATAGCAATAAATACAAATACTACCGTTTATTGCACACAGTACTAAGGATGCTTTTCATGTGTCATCGAGTCCCAACAACGATCCGCTCAAATAGATACTCCCACACTCATTTTGGAATGAGACTGAGCGAGGAAGTGATTGCCCAGTATCACTAACTCTTCACCGATGTGCAGACTGCCTCGGAGGGGAAACCTCCCTGCACCTCAAAAGGGCAAGGGCTGGCTGTCTCCTAGGTAGGCCTGGGGAGGCCCCCCTGCCTGGCTCCCTCCCACTCTCACCCGGGGGGAAGGTTCCTGCTCCCGCGCCCCGGCTCCCCCCGCCCAGCACGCGGGCTTCAGGCCGAAGCTTCGCACAAGGTGGACGCGGTTGTTGTAGGACCTCGGGCCCACCCCACCTCGTGGCTACCGAGCCGCCTCCGGCCTCTCCGCCACCCCAAGCCTTCGGGGCACACTCTCTTCCGCCCCAAGTTCCGCCCGCGTCCCGTCCGAGAACTCCTACCTGGTCTCTGGATGGCATAGCCGCGGGCAGCCGGGAGGAGACCTGTGCAGAAAAGAGAGGCTGAGGCCATAGCCTTAACCCCTTCCCCAACAATTTTTTTGTTAAAAACGTTTCTTTTTCAGACTAATTTTTTTATTTTGGTTCTATATAGTATTTTTGATGCTGGTTATGAAAACAGTTTGTAACTCGTCTTCCTATAAACCATATTTTCTTACCATGTTTTCTAAGTATACTCGTCGACGACTGAAAAAGAACATTTTGTGAAAACGCGTATACACGTTTCTGCCGGGGAATTAATAGTCCAGCCTCGATTCCTTCCTACGGCCCTTCCTCCAAGGTGCCTGCACCCTGTGCCGTCCCATGGCTCCTGCACCCCGCTGCCTGTGCCTCCCCCCTCTCGTCTCACTCCTTCCCCACCCGCCACCCTTCCTCTCTCCCCTACCCGCCTCCACCTCCGCCGAACCCTTCCCCTACTCCTGCAGTCCCGTTTCTCAGCTCCTCACCGCGGGGAGGGGAGGGGAGGACCCGGGGGTCGGAAGGAAGCCGGGTGCACCCTCCCCACGGCAGCCCGAGGACCGGGGCCTGGGTCCGGACGGCACTCAGCACCCTCCGCGCCGCCCTCAGCATGGTGGCTTCTGACCCCAGCGGGCGGCGGCGCCGTGGCCTTCGCGGTGCGGAGCGGGTTACATGGGCGCCGCCATGCTGGCTCAGGCTCGACCAATCGAGTGCAGCCGCGAGACCGGAGCAGAGGAGGACCGAGCGGCTGATCGCAGGGGCGGGGCTCGGCGATGACGCGGGCCGGCGCGAGCGGGTAGGTCCGGTTAGTGGTCGCTCCAGGTGGGGGACTTGGTGGTTGCCCGACCGTGTTAGTAGGGTGCGGTGCCATCTACACTCTAAGATGCCCCTTTTTCTCGGGCGCGCACCCCGCCCTGAATCCCACTCTGCGTTTCTCATCTCGGCCCCGATTATTTTGGGGGCTTCCGTGGGGTCTGTTGTAGCCTTTTCTCCCGAACCTAATATTCACTCCTTCCAACCCCCCCCCCCTCCCCCGGCCAGGTCCAGGATGAGGCCTGGGTTTCAGCCTCCTCTCTGGCAGCTTCATAGCCTGGTGGTTAAGGTCGCTGACTTTGGAATCAGACAGCTCTGGGCTGGAATCCTACCTCACTCAGCCTTTTACTCCCCGTGTGATTCTGTGGACAAGCCACCCAGCCTTTCTGGGCCACGGTGTACTCATCCATCAGAGGAGGATGGCAGTAACAGTGTCTATCCTTTAGGTTGCTAGAGGATTAATTGAGGCAGTTGTGTGCGAAGCACCTGGTATTTAGTGAACATTGAATAAGTAGTAGCTGTGATAATATTTGTGAAACGTAAGGACAAATCCAAATTAAAAGTAGGGAAAATAAAACTTAATTCTCCCCGTGGCAAAAAAGAGAAAAGAATACTTGTTAATTGTGAATTCTTTCTGCCCTTTTGAAATGTGTGTACATTTTTTAAAAAGCTAAGTAAGCCTCTTGCCAGTTTTACAAACCATGAATGCCTTTCTCTAGGACCTCGGAGCCATCTCTTTAAAATGCAGTCATTAAGGAAGATCTCTCCCTCCCAGTTTCTGTGGGAGGCAGGCTAGGAGCCTAACTTCAGCTAGTGCCTAGCTCCAAGTTGCAAACCTATGTCCTCTCATAAAGATACTAGAGGCCCAGTGCACAAGATTCGTACACTGGGTGGGGGGGTTGGTCCCTCAGCCTGGCCTGTGCCCTTTTGCAGTCAGGGACCCCTCAGGGGATGTCCACCTGTCAGCTTAGGCCCGATGCCCAGCACTCAGACATTCCTCTTGCAATCCAGTGCTCTCGCAGTTTGGGGCCCCTTGCTCCTTAACGCCTGCCTGCAGCAGAGGCAGGAGAGGCTCCTGCCACCGCCTCTGTGCTCACCAACGGTGAGCCCGGCTTCTCGCTGAGCGGCACGCCCCCTGTGGGAGCACACTGACCACCAGAGGGCAGCTCCTGCATTGAGCGTCTGCCACTTGGTGGTCAGTATGCGTCATAGCGACTGGTCGTTCCACCAT